TGGACTGGTTAAAGGACAATTTCATTTGATTGGAGCACTCAAGGCTCGAGCAGGCACTCAAAGTGTAAAGTTGTTGGAGCTCATCAGAGCTGAGCTTACTTAACATAGATTTGAAAAGGCTAGTAGACATATGTACATATATGTATGTACATATATCTAAAAAATATATTTAAATAAACTAATTTTAAAATATATAAATAAAATAAATAAATAAAATAAATATATACATACATATGCACATATAAATATACCTGTCTAGTTACCTTTATCCACTCCCTCACAACAGCTATGCTCACACACTCACACACACACACATAGTCGCACACACATTTGGCCAATTAAATGCATTGCATTTCCTTCCTGAGGTCATTTCCTCTGCCCACTACAAATCGCACAGCCTAACTGGAGCTTTCTAACTGTGAATGCTCAGCACTCGCCTCGCCCGTTTGCCCGCTTGCCCGCTTACCCGTTCGCCCGTTGCTCGCTTGCTCGAATGTTCTATGCCTAGGCGCGCACACAGCTCGTTTCGTTTCACCCCGTTCCACTGCTTATGCAAAAACAAAAATCAAATGTTCTTTGGAGCAAGCACTGTTTGCTGCGCGCCAAGTCAGCAGCGGCAGCAGAGTGAAAGAGAGACCACGACAGAGAGAGTAAGTGAGTGTGTGAGCGCGCGCTCTCTCTCGCTCTCTGGTTCTGTTGCTCTCTGCTTTTGTTGCTGTTGCTTTTGCTGTCTCTGACTGTGATTCAGCCTGTGCTGCTTCTTTAAGGTTATTGCGGTGCAATGTCCTCAATCGTTGGTCTCCTTGGCTCTTGCTGTAGTTGTTGTTGCTGTTGTTGCTTTGGCTGTGGTGTATTTTGGGCGCTCAGATGCTGTCCCTGGCAGGATAATTTGTCTCTTCTCTCCATTTGTTTCTTCTTATTCGTTTTTGGTTGCCCTTCGCAGCGCTTGGCTGGTGAGAAATGTGAAAGGTATTTCCGCTCGGCCCAAACAGAGTTCAATATGTTTTATTGTTTTTCTTTTATTTATGCTTCAGCATTATGCTTAAAAAATTTGTCATTTTCGTTTCGTGGAATCTCGCTGATAAGTCCAGTAATTATTGCCAAAGTTCATCGAACAAATCAAAGCTTTTGGCTCTGGCTAAAGTAAATAAGTTATAAATTATTGCCCTCAATTACTAATATATTGATTAACTATTGAGCACGGGTAGGTGATTAATATCAAATCGGTTGATTTCACATTGCCTTTCCATAATGGCATTTCCTGTGCCAACCCTCAACCCTCAAGCCCCAAGCTGCAGCCCCAACCCCAACCCCAACCCCAACCCTTAGTCCAACCGCAACAACTACTCGAATGCAGGCGACCATGAGGCAACGAGTTGAACGAACTCAGCGTCAGCGCAGCGCAGCACAACACAACACAACGCAGCCAGCGCAGCGACTGCAAAAGTGACGTCAATAGGCGCGAGGCCAAAGGGAAACACTTTGTGGGTGGGTGGGGCAGTCATGTGGCTACCCCTTCCGCTCTCGTTTCTGCCTGGCTGGCTGGCTGGCTGGCTGCCTAGCTGCTTGCGTTGCGTACGTGCGGTTGACCTCGTGTTCCTTTTTACTACGACTACGAGTGATGAAGCGTTGTGGGAGCGGAGGAGGAGGAGGGCGAGAGCGAGTGCCTCTCACTGCTAACGAAGAATATCCTTGCGAGGTATGCGCGCACAGGGCATTGAACTTTGACCCAAAAATGCGCCAGCAGCAGGCGCTGCTCGACTCGACTCGACTCGTAATTTGAACATCATTTATTTATTGTACATAGTATATTTTCGTCAACTAATTGCTGGCCTAATGACTCGGCCGGGTCCCAGCAATGGGCCATGAAATATGAGCCAAAGGTAAGCAATGGCTTTACCAATTACCAATTCCAAATTCTAGCCAAGCCGCAGAACCTGACGAACCTCGTCGACTGAACAGTAAAGCGCCATAAAGTTCCGGATAGGATGGGCAGATGGGGCAGTTAGGCACGTGCTAATTGCTTACGCATGGGACGAGCCCAAAAGAGAATTCGAAAAAAGACAGTTATAATTGAGTGAAGCTTAGGAGAGCGTGCAATCAAAGCTTGGCGAGGGTGTGCTACGCTGAATGAGTGACAGAGACAGAAAGAGATTAGAAATTTATGTATTATGAATATGGAATGAATAGGGAATGAACAGCAACTGGTCCTGAAGCTTAAGAGAGAGAGAGAAGAAATGAATATGAAATCAATTTAAAATGAAATGAGTATGGAATGAATGTGAAATGAACAACAGCAGATCCTGTTGGCATATGAAGATCGTTTAGAAATTCCAATGCTCTTGAGCTAACTAAATTCTCTGTGTTTATTCTATTGATGTCAAGATCCGATCTGACAGTAGCCCGTAAAGTGAGCTTCAAGTAGCAGCCCATATTGGATGCGGGTCAAGTGGTCAGTTGTGGCCCACTGATCGATCGTGCACAGCCAGCAACGGAACGGCAACAGGTAGTCTATAGATATAGGGAACTATTCATTCATGACTTTTCGATGTACATTTAAAAAGAGCTGCGACTGATCGCGAGCCAAAAAAACAAACAAAACAATTAAACAAATAGTGAATTATAATGCTTGCCATATTGCCTATGGTTTGGACAATGACGATGTCGAATCATCATCATCATGCTAAAGGGGGAAAACGCTTCACTGCTTAAGCGCTCATTGCCTAACATACACGAAAACATACACACTCACACACATACACACATACACTGGTAGCTAGACGAATATGTGTGTGTGTGTGTAACGTGAAATGCTCTCACTTTCCTTTGAAACTTGTTATTCGCATTGCAGCTGCCAGCAGAGTTCATTCACATTTGGCAGCCAGACCAAGAGAGCAAAAGCGAGAGAGCGCCGCATTGCAAGCTCGTCGTGCAGGTGATAGACCAACACACAAACTCTCACACACACACACGTAGTGAGAGCGGGAACGAGAGAGCGGCTGAAACGGGCACAGCTGTTCCCGAAAGTTCTTCGGTTCTTCGCTGCGTGCAAAACGTAAGCCCGACTCTGCTCTGCTCGCAGTTCATTTGCGGGGGCCGTGAGGCATTGAAATGAGTGCAAATTGTCGCTGCTGAGTGCAATGAACTCGCGCTCACAGCTCGAGCGAGGCTTGAGCTATGTTTTGGCTTTTCTTTTTGCTTAATTGCTTTGAATTTATTGTTGTTAATTATATAATGCTGCGACTACGGACTACGGACTGCAGCTTGAGCATGTATCGCCAAATGCTAGCTGATGCAATTTTCCGGGCCTATCCCAAACCGCTCGAATATGCTGCATTGCCAAAGATTTCCTTGAACGCATTTCAGCCATAGAGTCGCCGTATTGAAATGGCCGTTGCCCCAGCCCCTGCTGGCCCGCCCCTTTGAGGCCAGGCCCACAAACATGCCGTCGTCCGCCTGAGGTTTCTGTGTCGTTGACCGACCGCCAGCTCAAATGAACTCCAAACCAAAAAGTTAAAGCAATGGCTTGCAAACTGCAGCAGAAGTAGCAGTAGCTGCAGCAGCGACGACCATCGACAACAACAAATTTGCATGCGAATGCACTGAGCGAGCGAAACGCTGAGCAATTGAGAGCAGCAATGCACGAACGAAGAGTCGATTTGTTCGTCTGCTCGCTCACTCGGTCGGTCGGTCGGTCGCTCGTTAGCTCGTGTGGCCATTCGGCTATTCGGTCGCTCGCTCATTCGTTCAGCGCTGAGCAGCTCCACATTTGGAGGTATTTGACCGAAAAGTGGGTCACGACAATGGCGGGGTTCGTTGAACTGAACTGCCAGTCAGCCAACCTCTGCTGACGTCGTCGTATTATGTTGACGTCGTCGTCGACGTCGCGGCGTTCGGGGCTTTTTGGTTACGTAGCCTTCCAGCATGTGTCGTTGCTATTGTGTGTGTGTTGTCTCTTACGTTTTCTGTGGCCTCAAAAAAGAAATGAAATAAATAACAAAAAAACACATAAGAAAGAAAGAAAGAAAGAGCGCACCGCCAAAATATTATTTAATATTATTAATAACGAGGCGTTAAATTTAGTAGTTCGTGAAATGAGTTGAGTGCATTTCGGGACTGAGCTGGAGTGTTAAGTAATCAAGTATTCTCTCTGCCCATAATTGGGGCAACACTTTTTAGTGCGTTTGTCACTAAAGCCATATGATTAATAGCTACGAGTTGGGCAATTATAATCCCCCCTACACTGATACACACACACACACACACACACACACACACACACACTTGACAGTTTCTGGAAACTTCCCTAGAATACTTTTTTTTTTATAAATCTACCAACCCGAAAATAGTTTGAGAGCCGTTCCAGATCTTCGATCCTCTTATGCCTGTCATATTGGTTGATAGCGCTGTTCCCGCCCCCATATCAATATGCCCCGCCCACTCGATATCAATTAATCTTATTTGTCACTCATGTTTCAAAATAAGCACACACACGCGCACACGAAACAAATGTTCTAAGCTTATATGCATGTGTGTTTGTGTTTGTGTGTTGGCATTGTTGTTGCTGCTGTTATCAAACAAAGCTGATCAGTCAGGTGGCAGTAGCAGAAGCTACCTACAAAATCTGCGTCGCGTAGGTGTTCCAAGAATTGTTTACAATACAAAAAACAAGCAACATAAAGCGCCCCCACCAACAGCAACAGCAACAGCAACAGCAGCAACAGCAGCAGCGCCAGTGGCGTCTATTGTTAGCTGCTCGCGTCGACGTCGACGTTGGAGTGAATGTCCTCAGTTAGTGCACAAAAACAAAAACAATATGTGGCGCGAGGTTGGCAGCAGCAGCAGCAGCGGCAGCGCAGCTAGTAAACGAGAGAGCAAACGAGCCGAGAGCATGAGCTGACGATTTGTCGTTTGCCGAAGTTGGAGCCGAAGCACAGCGAACAGGCATGAGTTGTTGGCGTTGCTGGCGCTGCTTTCATTCGCAAATTGCTCGTCGTTAGCAGCGGTTGTGCAGAGCATGAAAAGCGCGCGAAAGAGAATAAACTAAATAGAAAGATGAAAATAAACTGAAAACTAAATAAAACGGCAAAATAAGAGCAACTAGAACAACGTTACAAATAGTTTTAATAATCATATATCAATCATATAGTATCATTATTATTTTTATTGGTGCCAGTGCTGTGAAACCGAATACAAAGAGATCAAGCCAGAGAGAGCGAGAGAAAGCAAAAGAGAAAGAGAGAGGGAGAGAGAGATCATCAAGACTTCCGAAAAGCGCAATCAAAAGTTTTTGGCGCTCAAATCGTTGGTGTAGTGAATGAAAATTGAGTTTCAAATTGAAATCAAAGCAAAACGCGAAAGCAAACGCAATGTTCCTTATTTGCAAATTGTAGAGCAAAATCAACAGCAGTCTAGATCGAAGGAGAGAGCTAGAGAGCAAGAGAGAGAAGTTCAAGTGTCATTGTGGTACCAAAAAGTTTAAAGTTTAATACAAAATGGTTTGTGCAATGGAGCAACAGCAGCAGCAGCAACAGCATCAGCAGCAGCAACTGCAACAGCAGCTGCAACAGTTGCCACAACAGCAGCAGCAACACGGCACAACAATTGTGCTGCTGACAGCCGGCAACAACAATGTGCACATTGTCAGTGCACCGCAGCAACATCAACCGCAGCAGCAGCAGCAGCAGCAACAGCAGCAACAAATCAAAAGCCAGCTGAAGCAGCAACACTCGGCGCTGGTCAAGCTGCTGGAATCAGGGCCGCTGAGCAAGCAACAACAACAGCAGCAGCAGCCGCAGCCTAGGCAAATTGTTTACCTGCAACAACAGCAACAACAACTGCAACAGCAACGCAAAAGACTGAAAAACGAAGAGCAAATACAACAACAACAACAACAGCAACAACAAACACCTGCAACACTAGTAAAGACAACCACCAACCAGACAACAGCAACCACAACAAATAGTATTAGTCAGCAGCAGCAGCAAATTGTATTGCTGCTACAACAGCCAGCTGCAACAGCAACAGCAACAGCCACTGTAACAGCAGCAACACCAAAGCCATGCGCCGATCTCAGCGCCAAAAATGACAGCGAATCGGGCATCGATGAGGACTGTGCGAACAGCGACGATGAATTGCCGCCCAAGGCCAATGTTGTCAATAGTCCAACGGCAACAGTTGCTGCCGCCGACTATGAGCAATATCAATGTCCGTGGAAGAAAATACGCTATGCGCGGGAACTGAAGCAGCGTGAATTGGAGCAAACCACACTGGCTGCAGCAACAACAGCAGCAGCTGCAACAGCAACATCAGCAGCAGCAGCATCAGCAACAAAACCCACCAGCAACAAGCTCAATCAACTGCATTGTGATAGTCCTTTCTCCGCGCAAACACACAAAGAAATCGCCAATTTGTTGATGCAACAAACTCATCAGCAGCAGCAACAACAGCAGCAGCAACAACATCAGCAGCAACAGCAACAGCAATTGATGCAGCAGCAACAGCGACGTGACAGCTCCGACAGCAATTGCTCGCTGCTGAGCAACTCGAGCACGCAGTCGCTGACAAATGGCATTGGCAATTGTTGCACATGCAACAGCAGCAGTGACGAGGAGCTGCAGCAGCAACACAAGCAGCTGATCGAGGATATGGATGCCCAGGACTCGGGCTGTGACGATGAGCTGTGCGAACAGCATCATCAGCGCCTGGAGGCGTCGCAGCTCAACTATTTGTGTCAAAAGTTTGACGAGAAGCTGGACACAGCTTTAAGCAACAGCAGCAGCAGCAACAACAACAACAACAGCAACACAGCTGCCGCCAAAGCGACGACAGCAATTGAGGACGACAGCAATGCTGATGTAGGTGGCAAATGAGTCTAATTAGATATAGATTTTAGTTAGAATAGACGATGATACGGAATTTAGAATAATATATTAACTTTTAGTGACCTGATTTCTATTTTTATTGATATGAACAGCTAGCATGAAAAATTTTATTATATATCTCTATATATAAAATATATTTATCTGTAAATAATATTAAAATATGTACCATCACCATTTAAAACTGATTTAATATATATTTTCACTTGAAATTTAAAATATATTTTAAAATATAGTTTTTATTCGATTTTTTTCTTATAAATATACTCATATAATCATAAATTTCATATCATAAAACTTTAAATCTTTTTCTAAATTTCGATTATTAAATTTACAATTTATTTAAAATTATTTTTTACTTATGTCTTATAAATCATTAATGTATGTATTCCTTCAATTTATTTAATTCCAGGGCTTCTTCCGTCGCTCGATACAGCAAAAGATCCAATATCGCCCATGCACCAAGAATCAGCAGTGCAGCATTTTGCGTATCAATCGCAATCGCTGTCAATATTGTCGCCTGAAAAAATGCATTGCCGTTGGCATGAGCCGTGATGGTGAGTACACAAGCTTTTACACTCCTCTAGTCCTAAATCACTTACACACACAGACACACACACGAACACACACTCAATACTCACTGCAGAGAGTCAAGCTCAAATACAATAAAAATAGAAAAAGAAAAACAAAAACAAAATACAGCAGCAGCAACAACAATCATTAGGCTAAAAACCGAACACATAACGAAACTTAACGAACGACAGCCGACGACTATCATTGAGTTCATTGACCAGCCATGAACGAAATTTCAGCTGGTTGGCTGGCTGGGTGTGTGTGCATGAGTGAATGAGTGTGTGAATGTATGTATGCATGTATGTATGTATGTGTATTGCAACATTTGTATAGCGCGCGCGATTTCACGGCAAAGTAAAAGTTGTTAGCTGCCTGCCCTGAAAAAAGCAACAAAACACACTCACACACACTCGCATACAAAGGCAAACTACATTTATGTAAATTTTGTTTAAACAAATTTCCAACACCCGCATGATAAATGGGAGCAGCGGCAACAGCAACTGTGCGCCATTTCGAAATTATGTTAAAAGTTGAATGAACGCACTTAACCTAAATTCATAAAGGCAAGCGAGGCCATGCCTACGCATGCCTCTCTCTCTCGCTCTCTCTTCCTCTTTTCTATCGCTCGCTCCCCCATTCTCTCCAGCAGGCAATCTGAATCTTTCTCTTGCACTCTTTCACAATTCCTCATGCTGTTACGCTTGCAAGCATTTGCTTTTTATTAAATTTTGTAATAATTTGTTTAAATTGAGAGCAAGCCCGGAAAAATTGTACAGGAAATGCTGCGACGTTCATATCGATTATGAAAGCATATATAAAAAAAAAACAACAACAGAAAACAAAATAAAATACAAAACGAGCGAAGCAAAAACAACAACTTACACGAGCGCGCAACGTTCATTGACTTTTGGGCTCTTCTTCCTCTTCTTTCTATCATGGCGGCCATGTTGCTGTCGAAAACGAAAGTGGTTCATGCTGCTGCATGCGCGCCTGTTGGATAGACAGAGAAAGAGATAGCGAGAGAGCTGTTAAGTCTTCGCTGCGGCTGTTTTGTAGGCAGCACGCAGTCGCAGCCTGTGCTTAATAATAATGTTGTAGTAGCTGTTGTTGTTGTAATGCTACTTGAACATGTGTATGCTGTAATTGATGGATTACAGTTTGTTTTCTTTTCGTTTCTTCTTCATTTTTTTTTTTGTGATGGGACGCGTGCTGGGTAAATGAAATAAACGAAAGTTACATAACGTTAGATAAACGAGTAAATTAGCAATAAAATATGTATGCATATTAACAAATTAATCACTGTCTCGCCAAGGCATTGGCTAAATTACTATTTAGAAATTGGCAAATCCTTGAACTAGTTCTACACAGCACTAATGCCAAAAATCCCAATAAAAAACGAAAAAACTACTAAAACTAAAATACGACCGCCATCAAAATAAACAGCAGCGAACTCAAACTCGGCAACAGCAAACGAACAAAAACAAAAATTCGAATTGTTTATAATAAAAATGACCGTGTGCTATTTAAGCGCAGTCGCCGCTGACGTTGGCGTTGGCGTTGCTGTCGACAGCGCTGCCCTCGCTTGCCTTATCTTTCAAGGAAAATTAAATTTGTACACTGACACACACTTACACACACATGGGGGCTGTTGTCGAAATATTTACAGTTACTTTTGTTAAACCACCAAACTGACCTAGAAATTGGTCATATTATGTTGATTATGTATGAATATTTCTGGAATCTCCATTATGCCGCCGAGTGCATAATATGCAAGACTTTCACTTGGTCGTTTGACCGTTTCGAAACACTTTCTTTTGCGGCTTTCATAATTTCTTTTTCGTGTGTAGTAATATTATTAGGCGCCATTTTGTTTATGTTTGCCTATTGCAAAGATACGAAAATAAACGCAAGACGCGCCGTCAAAATGAAAACGAAACCGAAATTTAGCGCACACACACACATACACACACACATACAAACCCAAACACAGACACAGACAGACACTCTCCCGTGGATAGAGCGCCCCTCAAAAAAATACACACAGAAAAAAAGCAACAAACAACAAACACGAACCAGGCGAAAGCCTCAGCCCGCGAGCGCCCTCTCTTACTCTCGCTCTCTCTCGCTCCCCCACAAAAACATTCAGCCTCGACAGCAGCGCTCAGTTCATTGACCGACGAAACTGGGTCACCTAAAGCAGCGACGCAGCAGCAGCAGCAGCAGCAACAGTGAAGGTGCCTGAGTGTGTGTGTGCGTACGTGTTTGTGTGCAAGTACGATTGATAGTAAACATGCTTTTTTCACTCATTTTATGCGTTCATTTTGCATTTGCTTTATTTATTTTTTTGTGAATTGTTTAAATTTGTAGTTGTCGCGGAACAGGCATAGACATGTATTTATTTGCAGCTTTTTGCATTTTATTTTTTTTTTTAACACTTTATTTTATTAGTTTTCATGTGGCGTTCAATTAAAATGAACTCAAATCAGCGCGAGGCTAATCGAATTGAAAGGCTCAAGATTCAGCATATGTAAGAGCGAGCGCAGCTACGATACAGTTATGATTATGCTGAATGCTCTCTTGAACTAGAATGTGTTAGAGTGGAATATCTATACATACATACATATGCATATGACCAACGGCATGTGTATGTGTGTGTGTATGGCTGTCAATTAGCTTTGTAGTTGCGCACACATGAACAAAAAAAATATAAGAAAAATAAACTTATCAGACAATTGTCAATTATCGAAGTCACAACTTTATTTATTTTAGATTTTTGTTGTTGTTTTTTATAGTTACATATGAGCGAATGCATGTGTGTCTGTGTGTGTGAGCGCATGTACAAGCAGTGACGTTTTTGTTGTTGTCGCAATCATTATATTTTGAGGCTACACACATGGACACACACAGACACACACACACATACAGACACAGCTTGCATGTAGATTTCGCCTTGCCGTCATCGTTGCTGCTGCGGCGAGTGTTTTGAACTTTATTCAGGTCAATTACAAATACATTAAAATGCCAGTGCTACACACACACATACACACACACACACACACGCAGACGAGGTGTTGACTAAAATAATATTGGAGGCTACCACACGAAATGAACAATATGACAATAAAAATGTCTTGCCCCAGGGGGCGAATTGCGAATGGATTGAATTGAAGTTTCATATCATTGAGCTGGCTGTGAGCTGTAGGATTGTTTCGTAGCATTGAGCTGGCACTGTAGGCGTTAATGCTGGGCGTGGGTCAAAGCTTCAAGTACAACTAGCTCATGATGATAATGAGGTCGTTGATAATGTCGTTTGGTGACTGCAACCAATACAAATACAAATACAAATAAATACATGTGGGCGAGCCTCGTGAGCTCAATGCAATGCTAAATGCATTGTAACGTGAATTAGCTGTGGGGGCTTCTAAGGTGTGTGGCTGAGTGGAAGGTTAGCCAAACGTTGCGCTATTGAAAAGTTAATGCATAACAGATCGAGCACTTGGCTTATTATACAATTGAGTTTACTTTTTTGTCTCTTGTCATCAGTGAAATCATTTTTTTTGTACGCGTGACACGCATCATCAACAGCACAAAAACAAAACTGAGCTGCGACAAGTTTGCTATCCCCATCTCTCTCTCTCTCTCTCTGTCTCTGCTTCACTCTGCCAGTGTTACATAAAGCTGTGCGCGCTTCACCTGCCTTACAAATTTGTGTTGTATTTGTTGTTTGGCTTAACGGTGAAATTGCAAAGGAAAGAGCGCAAAACAAAGCCGTCAAAAGCAGCGACAGCCCGAACGAAACGTAACAAACTTGTTTTACACCAGCCAGCGCTGGCGTCGACGGCGGCAGCGACGTTGGCGTCGCCTACTACGCAAGTTGAACCTTCAAAAGGTTCATTTACCTCGCGCACAAACGTACAAACGAACGTCAAACACGAACAGCAGCCACAAACACGAACACACACACACACACACAGCAAGCGACGGGCAGCAGAAAAATGTACTTTCGCTTTTTCAATGCCTCGACGTCGACGTCAAACTAGTTTCAAGCTTCAAGTGGAGCCGAGCCGAGCCGAGCCACAGCCAACATTGCTGCAATGGCTGTGACGCCGGCGTCGCTGCCGTTTTGGGGCACAGTTAAACGACCGACACATGGCGCGAGTTCAACGACTCTTGTAAAATTTCTCGAAGGTTTCGCATTGCAACATCAGCGTCGCAACTTGTTCGACTGCAGCAGCAGCGCAGCAACAGCAGCATTTGCATAGGCTCAGCTGGCAGTCGCTCTCTTGGTCGCTTGCTCTCTCGCTCTCAATTTTACGCTCTCTCATGTGCTGGTGTGTGTGCGCGCGCTGAATGCTGTTCATTGCACTCGGCCTCATTTTGAGTGCGCGCTGCGCTTTTTTTTTTCATGCTGCAATTTTTGTTTTTGCAGCGACTGAGCGAACGAGTGCGAATGCGTCTGTGTGAGTGAGCGAGCGAGCGAGCGAGCAGGCATTTGTCGCCTTTGTTGGCGCGAGTGCAGCGACTTTTATTTGGGTCAGGCACGGTCATTCGCCTCAGTCGCAGCGCAGCGCAGCACAGCACAGCACAGCTGAGGCGCTCGCATTGCATTTGCAATTGCAATTGCGATTGGCAGTTGCCTTGGCGCGCATTTTATTTGAAAATAATTATGAATGCGAAAACAAAACTGAAATTCCCTTGATGCGTGCGCAAATAAAGGATTTACTACTACAACCCCCACCCTCTCAATATTGATGCCAAGCACACATTGCGTAGCCGACGCGTTGTACGAAAAATCACTTCTTTTGTTTGACTTTTTTGAATGTATGTAAATATGTCAATATGTGTGTGTGTGTGTGTGTTGAGCGCATGTCATTTATTTATGTGCCTGACCTTTTTTTTATAATTATTATTTGTAATATGGCACAGGGTCTCCCCCATTGAACGCGATTTGTTATTGAGCGTTGCCTTCGCTGTCTGCTTTAGTGACCTCCTCGCAGCATCTGTGCAGTTGCCTGACCCACAAAATTAACTAAAAACATGTATTTATATATATGTGTGTTCATGTGTGTATGCATGTAAATCTTTCACCGATCTTTGCTTTCTTTGTCGCTGGAAGTTTCAGGAAAGCCAAAAAAATTTATTTTGTCTTCATTTTGTTGTTGCTCGTTTTTGTGCCATCTCTTTCGCTCTTTCACTTTTTTACTTTTTGGGCTCATTTTGTAAACAACTTACGCAACAACAACAACAACAACTGTGTCGCTTATTTGATATTTACGTAAAGCCGTGAATCACCCAAAACTAGCCAGAAAGTAGGCCTCCTGCTCCATGTCTCCATGTCTCCATGCCGCATGCCACACATGCTTCTCGACTCTTCGCCTCTGGTGCATTGAACTTTACGCTTTGCCTCATAAAAGCGAATCAAAAGCAAACATAAACAACGTTGCTTTTGTTGTTGCTTCTCCTCAACTCTTCAACTTTGGCTTGGCAATTAGCGCCGCGGCGTAAAACGGGAAGTGGCTGCTGATCACAATGGTAATAACAATGGTAATCACAATGATAATGACAATGCTAACAATTGCTATTCAATTTTTCATTAGAGAAAGCACCCGCATAGCGATGGGCAGCGCAGTAGGAAGGGGGAGGGGCAGGGGGGACTGTCGCGCTTGAAATTGAGGTTGAAGCCAAACTCTCGAGTCTTTTGGAGCAAGTGAAAGTGAATTTTAGGTTGCGTTCGCTGCAAAGCTGTTAATTGGCTTTTAATTGTCGAATATATACATATGGATATATATGTATATGTATGTATATAAATATACATATATAATGCTGTGAACAATTATGGAACTGTAAACTGCTTTTGTTGATTATGAAGATTTTAAAACTGTCCATAAAATATAAAAATAAATACATTTCTTTGTTTATTAAATTTAAAAAAATTATGTATTAAAAAAAAAATTTATAAATATTTCAAATATTAAAAAAAAAAAAAAAAAATTTATTATAAAAATATATATGTAATAAAAAATATATTTCATAAATTTTTTATAAAAATAAAATAAAACTAGAAAAAAAAAATTCATAAAAATTGAAATCAAATTAAATTGTATTTAATTTTTATAGAAAACCTACTTTTCTAATATATCAAAATTTACAAATTGCATTTGAAACAATTTTAAATAAAAATATTTATGTATTCAAAATTGAAGCGCATTGAAAAACATTTATATTAATTTCCTTATTTTTATAAACTTATATACCAATTTTTAAATATCTTATTGCACATAACTATATCTATATTTTATATCTCGTTTATACTTATTCGATTCCCAGCATATTGCTGGCATATTCCAGTTTGCTTTCTTGTGTCTCTTCTGTCGCTTGTGTCGCTTACACAATTTCAGTTCAGTTTGATAGGCCTAAACGAACAAGTTGCTCAATTTCGCTTTTGGCTGCTACAAAACACGTCGAAATTTCTACCCCGAAAAAAGTAACTTTCACTTTTACTTTCGTGGCTGGCTGAAATGAGGCAATGACGTTCAGGCAACAGCAACAGCAGCAACAACAACAAGCGACGCGTCGCTTCGATTCGCTCATATTATTAAATTTTTTCTTATATACATTTTGTTTCTTTTCTTTTGTTGTTGCCTGTTTGTGTGGCTTTCGGTTGTCGTCATTGTTTGTTTGTTTTTTTGGCCTCATTTTGTGGCTTCAGTTCAATGACCGTCGCGTCGCTCATTGTTTTTGTTGTTTAACTTATGACTCCTTCTTCCTCTTATTGTTGCTCTCATTGTTGTTGCGGCTCAAGTGGTTTATAACGTGCGAAATGCTTTGACACATTGGAAGCTGTTCGCTTCCGTCGCATTAGTTTGCATTCAATTTGAATAATCACTGACGACTCTGAGTCACTTCTCGCATTTGACCTCAATAAAACAAAGATTTGATTTGTTTCAAATTTAAATTAGTTCAGCGAACGAACAACTTGCGCGGCTACGTGACTCAATGTTTTGTTGCTGCTGTGCATCTCGCTCGCTCCCACACACACGCAACCCTCACAAGCAGAGCTGAGGGCTTCCAGACGGGGCCAGTCATAAATATAAAACAAGTGTTTAATGACCAAAAATAATGCATTTTTAACGTCTCGTCAAGCGAATGAGGAGAGCATAAAAAAAATGCATCACAAAGCTGCATCCACTAGGCGTATGCGTGATCCCGCTTGCATGGCGCCAAACTAGTATTTATTGCACAAAAGCTCTCTGCAAAGCTTTGCGCTCTCTTAACTTGCTGGCAAACTCAACACGGTGTGTTGAAAAGCTCTCGGCGTGCATTTAAGAGCATGCGCCATAAGAGAGACACACACAAAGAGAGAGAGAGAGAGAGAGAGGGAGCAAAAGTTTAGCCGCGCTCTTTACTATGCTTGGGTTTGTTATTTGTTTTTTGTTTTTGGCGCCACGAGCATTGAACTTTCGTTGTCGTTAGATATTGAGATAAAGATAAAGCGCTGCTCGCCGGAGCTTGCTTGTGGCAGAGGCAGAGCTTATCAACGCCCGAAGCTTATCAGTGGTTGAACTTGCCACCAACTGCGACTTAAATTAATTAAAATGCTAAAATTGTGAAATGAAACGATGACAAATGAAAATAAGTAGATTTATTATTATTATTATTGTTGTCATGTTTTGTTTTTCTTATTGAATATTAAATATAAATTAGCTGGGGTATATTCTAAATTTCATTATTGCCATGTAAATTCGCTTCTATGACTAATTTGCTTATCACCTATTGACGCTTGCCGTAGTTATTTAGCTGTTGTTGTTGCTGTCTCTGTTGTTTCTTTTCTGGTTTGTTGGCCCCTGCCAATTGCTCACTCCGTGAGCTTTGCTCGCTCTTGCGTATGTTCGCTCTCTGAGTTGTGCTCGCGTTCGCTCTCGCTCTCTTTGCTGCTGTTGGCCGTTGGCTCTGCTGTCGCGACGGTGGCGGCTTTTTTGTCAGTTGCCTTTGCCGTTTCTGTTTCTGTTGTGGCTCGACTCAGTCTCGGTCTCAGTCTCGCAGCTACCTTTGGGTATATTCGTAACGTGCTTTGCTTTTTACAGTTAGTCGCGTTCGAGACCTTGTCGAGTTTTGTCATGTTAGCGAAATATTTCAATAAAACTACACTCAATCAACATTTCAAGTGTGTTTGTGTTTGACAATTGCAACAAAATCAATTGAAATATATATTTACATAAATATATATACAACTAAATATAAATATAAATATAAATATATTTAACTCGTCTGTTAATGTGAAGAAAAGTCGACCTGTCTCAAATCTCAGAACCCGAAACGCATTTTTGGATTACGCGGTAAAACATAAAAACCAAAATCTAAATCAAAATAAAAATACAATTAAAATAAAAACAAAAAGTTATACCCAAAAATTGCTGCAGAGTTAAGCAAAAGATAAATTCCAAAAATTATTATTACAAAAAGTTTAAAAAGCAAAGAAAGTTCCTGCAAAAATACAAAAAAAAAAAAATTTAATTTAAATATATGTTTAAAAAAGAATTAGTGCAAATATTTAAAGAAAATTTTACAAAACCGAGAAAACAGAAATATTTTTGCAATTACCTGTGGAGTACCTGAAATAGAAAAGAAACGTAAAGTAAAAGTAAAGTTCAACAACAAATTTGTTGTCCCAAAAAGCAAAAGAAAAGGGAAAATACTTAACCAAAAATTGTGCGTGCCAAAAGAAAGCAAAAGGAAATTTTAATGAATATTCCAAGTAGAAATTAAATGCGCCCCAGTGTGCAGCCAAACAGAGAATCTCATATCTCTCAGTGAGAATAACCAAAACAAATCAAAAAGCAAAATCCCAAACATAACTCTCACACACACAAACTCACACACACTCGCACAACAATGGGCGAAGAACTTCCTATATTAAAAGGCATACTCAAAGGCAACGTGAACTATCACAATGCGCGTAAGTTGAGCCAACTCTAATACTTTGACAGAGATTCACATGAACACACACACATACTCATACTGCTCACACTCGAAAAATATCAACTTGAAATCATTTCGCCGCAACATGACACAAATTCGCTTTCAATTTCCAATCAAAGCTTTTACTTCGAAATGCAGATTTGAGCAGCAACGGAATGCATGCCTAAACCAGCAGAAGAAGAAAGAGAAAAAAGCGTTTGACTTTGATTTGCTTTTTCGTTTTGTTTACATTTTGTTTGTTTTGTGTTTCATATGCTGCTGCTTCTGCTGTCAAACAACAACTAACTCTTTAAGCGCCATTGAAGTGTTGACCTCGTTTTTAAACGCACACAATAATGACTGTTGTTGTTGCTTTGGGTTTGTGCGGCCGCGGAAGAGCTTTAAACTTGAAATGAAACTTTAGCGACGCAGCGACGCAGTCGTCGCTGCCCACTTGTGCGACTTTTGCTATTTTCTAAAAAGCAACAACGAAAGCTGCTGCTGCTGCTGCTGCTGCTGTTGCTGTTGTTGCTATTGCCTCTCTTCATGTTTGACCAACTTTGCAGCGTCGAAAGTTGGCGCAGGCTTTGCTGCTGCGCTGTCGCCGTCGTGTTTGTTGCTATTGGCGCAGGCGTGCGCGCTGCTTACTGTTCGCTCGCTCTAATTTCTACGCGCAGCCGCAGCTGCGTTCATTTTCCATTTCGTTTGACCTGAATTTCGCTGCCTGCCAACTGGGTCATTCAGTCAGTCAAGCGATTTCTCGGCTGCTGGAAAAAGTAGTGAAAAATCTGCCAAGCACCCAGTTTGGATTTTGTTTGTTGTTGCTTTTGATGTTTCTGTTGCTGTTGCTATTTCACTTTTGTTACTGATTTTGTTTAGTGTGCCAGTTATTTGTGGCAATTGAGTGAAATTGTAGAAATTGCATTGACATTGAAAAGTTGGCCAGGCATTTATTTTACCAGAAATGAATAGCAAATGGCTAAAAATGACAGGCCTAAATGTGTTTGCTAATCAGCACAAAGCATTCAATTAGTTTGATTAATGATTAGCTTTAAGGCGAATTGCTGACTTTCCAGTAAGAGCGAAGATGAGAGAGTGCGGGAGAGTGAGAGAACACAAAAATGGAGCAGCAGTTGCAAGCTTAATTTGCACAAGTCCAGGAGAGTGCAGGATAGAGTGGGATGGAGGGAGTGTCGCAGTTTTACAGTGGAGGCCATAAAATTAGGCCTGCTTTTGCTAGGGTAATGAAGTAGAGTGCAGGAGAGAGTGAGATAAAAGTCAGTGCAGCAGATATACAGTAAAGGCAAGGCAGCAGTTTTACAGTGCAGGTCTAAAAATTGAGCTTGCTATGAACTACTTTCCTCTTTCAAATCCAATGCATATTTTTGTATAGCTCACACATGCGACTCTTTACCGAGCTGCATTCAAGCCCCCCTCTTTGGTAACACACTTCACTCAATTAGCGCCTACAAACTTGTGACAACGTCGCTTTGGCCCAGTCTTTGGCCTAAGGCCTGATCCGTTGATCTGTGAAACGTGACCAGAAACGTGTTTGCCGTCTTGCTCTGGCCTGGTGAAATGTGAAAGTTCACCCACATACAAATTCGTTAGTGCAAATTAAAATCCACAAACAAACAAAAATACAAAAAACATTTATAAAAAAAAAAACACAAAAAAGAGAAAGTGTAGCAAGCGTGAAGAACGAGTACAACAGCAACAGAGCAAAAAAAAAAAGAAGAGTTGAACGACAGCTGAGAGCAGGCAATGACCCAGTTCGAAGGGCTGTCCATAAATTACAGCTGTGCCTGTACAGTGAGCACACGCACACACCAACAAGAACTTCCTGCGTGACAAACGGCGGCAACAGCTGCGCCTTGCACCTGCTCACTGAAGTGTGAGACGGACAGACAACAAAATAAGCACATACACATACATACATATATAAATATATACATACATAAATGCTCATCTGAATATATTGTTAATTTTGCAACTCTTCTTCTGTCTACTTTGCAGCTGTTCGCTTTGGTCGCGTGCCGAAGCGCGAAAAGGCGCGTATTTTGGCCGCCATGCAGCAGAGCACACAGAATCGCGGTCAACAGCGTGCGCTGGCCACCGAGCTGGATGATCAGCCACGCCTACTCGCCGCCGTGCTGCGCGCCCACCTGGAGACGTGCGAATTCACCAAGGAGAAGGTCTCGGCGATGCGACAGCGCGCCAGAGACTGCCCCTCCTACTCCATGCCCACCCTGCTGGTAAGTGAAAGCAGAAAAGCTACAACAAAAATCAAAGCAATCCTAAATCTAAGATGCAGTAGTCCAATTGGCATCCAATTGGCATTTAGTTGAGCTCTTGAGGGTTTTTTTGTATTTTTTTTTTGACGTAGGCGAATGTCAAAGCACATTTCCGGGCACATTTTTTATTGGCATGCACAGATCAGCAGCAACAACAACAACAACAACCAGAACAACAATAATGATAATACTATAAACAATAACAACAAACTAGCAGCTCGAGCGTTACTCATACGCCAAGGTGAACCAGTTTGCATGATTCTAAACCAGGAAATCAAAAGCATCGCACGTAGCCGCGTCTGTCGCACTATAAGACCTCCGGCTGGGCCAAAGAGAGGAAGAGATACAGATACAGATACAGATACAGATACAGATAGAGAGAGAGAACGAATGAGAGAGCAAGAGCGAGAACGCGCATAGCCATAGATCGGGGCATTGAAGCGTCGCCGCGCGCTTTGGGGTCAAGTTCTTAAAAACCAATTTTTTGTTGTCTTTCTTGACTTTGGCCAAAAGCCGTCAATGTCAGAGTGACTGACAGACGACTGACAAACAGAATGATAAATGGGTTGTAAATGCTGTCAACGTCTCAACTTGAATTTTGTAGGTAAAAAAAAAACTATTTACAACTGACGTCATTGCACATAGATAGAAGATATGCGCAGACAGCAATGGGTGCGCATAAAAATAGCTCAAGTTTCCATAAGGATAATAAACATATAGAAAAATATACAAAACTAACATTTCCAATATGCCACTCTGAGCGGTCTTATTGGACTTATCAGAACTGAACGATAAGGAAACCAACAACAACGAAACGAAACCCACATTAAGCCAGGCGGGAAACGTGTTCCGACAATATATATACATATATAAAAAATACATTTCCAAAGCTCAAGGTCAGCCGTAGCGTCATTATTAATGGAACAGAATAGCACAAACACAGACACACACACATACACACATGCATAAATACACAGGCGTTGGCACAAAGTGAGAACGAACAAGAGGGCGAACATAAAAGGGGCGAAAGTATTTAGACACATGTGGCGGCTGTTTAAATAAAGGCGAATTAAGCATTCAAAAATAATCAAAGGAGAACAGTGCGTCGTCTGCTGCTTGCTTTCTATTTCTCTCCTCTTTCTTCCTTTCCTTTCTTTTTTTCGCCCGATAATCAGACAGTTGCGTTAATGAGTTAGCGATAAGAGAGCGGGCGAGCGATAGTAAACAAAGTATTTCCATTGTCAAAGTCAAGTGCAAGGCTCTGGCAGCAACAACAAAAGCAAAAGCATTGTAAAAGCTTTTTACAAATGCAAAGGGAACAACACAAATGTGATCAGTTGTGTGTGAGAGTGAGAGAGTAAGTGAGCACGAGAGAGCGAGTGACGCTGCCAAAAGAATAATTTGCACATGTCTGCAGCGTAGAATAAACACACACACACACACATACATGCACACGGTTAGAATGCTCGCATGCGAGTCGCGAGACGACCTTGTGGCGAGTTATTTTTTAACCTTGGATGAATGAAATGGTTGTGCATGTGTGTGTGTGTAGCGTTTTTTCTTCTTCTTCTTTTAGCGCATGTATGTTGGTATGTCGTTGATACGGGAATTATATATAGAACTACTTGCGTATGTTTGTATATGAGTAAGCAATAATACTTACATAATAATATATAAAAATTATACAAATATGCACAGAACTAGGCATTAGTCAGGGCAGGGGCGTAGTGGAAGGGGGCACTCGTGCACACTCGTAAATGTAAATGTAAATGTCATCAGTATGAGGAAGCGAATGCAAAAGCTAGACCAGAAACAAAAGTCACAGCAACAACAACAACAACACTAACGGCACTTTTACGACAAGCGCCGTCAAAGAGAGAACGCAAAACGAATGCCAGCAACAATTACAGCAAAAGGCATTATTAGCAATTTGTAATGTGCGAGCGAGAGTGAGTGAGTGAGCGGTGAGGCGGCGCGAGTGGAAGTGAGATGGCAACCGAAACGACGCAGTTCATTTAAATACAGTCAGGTGGTTTATTATTATTATTATTATTTTGAAATGCTTATAAGGAAGCGCCAGACGTGAAATTCTATTGAGACAAGGCGGAAGCAAGTGCAAGGTGTAAGGGCCTATACAATGTATACATACATACATACATATATCAGCTATAGTGCAATTTGTATGCTGTTGATTAAACTTGAGATTCTATCAACTGCAAGAATTCGAGGAATTATTTTGGCAGCCAAAAAATTAAATTGAAGGTCTTGTGATACGCATGACGGGCATTCTAACAAAAAGGGGGGCAAGTCATAAGAAAAGCAGAAATATTCACATATGTACATATGTATATATATACATATATACATACATATATATAGGCAAGGCTATTATACATTTTGCAAAACTATTTCCGCTTTTGCGCAAATATACAGAAAAATATACAATTTTTATAAAATGATACGACAACGAATCCCCATGCCGAAGGCGACGTCAAAGTTGACGTCGACATCGACGACAGCGTCAGCGTGCCGGCTAAAAGGTGCAGAAAATAGAGAAGAAATTTCGTATCGTTGTTGTTGTGCCGGTTAGCCGGCATACTGTTGTTGCTTTTGCTTGCACTTGACGAAGGCCAGTGGAAGACAGTGAGGTTGTGGGAGAGAGAGAGAGAGAGAGAGAGAGAGGTCGTCTGTCTGTGCGTGCGTATGTATGCATGTGTGGGAGAAGAGGAAAAAAAGACTCAAACTATGGATGGGCCGGCATTTTGAGAGGCGGCAAAAATGTTCAAGGTTAATCAGAAGACTTCGACGTGTAGTAGTAGTATATACATACATATAAGCATGCACAATGAAATGAAACATAATTTATAAATTAAGAATCAAGAGCAACAAAAGGCTATTAGCAAGGGGTTGGGTGGGCTTTGTGCTTGGCACGTTCGCGTTTGTCTGGCGCGTGCATGTAATTCAAAACCCGGAAAGCCAAATGGCAAAACAACATGAACCAGGGTTTGCAATAGACAAAACAACGGCATCAGTGATATATATATAAGCCCTCCCCTCACTCACACAAACACACAAATGGCAATCTAAACCCCCAACCGGCACACGCGCAGGGTAAAAAAAAAAAAACAACGATAACAACTAACCGGAACCTTGAACTCTGGTTCGTCGACCTTGGTGCTAATGTCAGCGACAGGCGACGAAAGCACAAAGCAACAGAGAGAAAAAAACTACGAATAGAACTGTCATAGTAAGCAAGCTAGAGAGAGAGAGAGACAGATAGTGGGAGAGCGCAAAAAAAACTGCCCCTAGAAACTAAAAACTAAGCAGCGGCAGCAGCAGCAGCAGCAGCAGCAGCAGCGCGCGCTGACGTCGACAGAGCTTTTGTAATGGAAAAGCTTCCAGAGCGTGTACGTATGAGGAAATGTGCCGTTTGACGACAGTTGACTCAGTATTAGCTGGAAGGGGTCGGGTGAGTGAGTGAGTGTGTATGTGTGTGTGTGTGTGTGTGAGTTGGAGGCGTGCGGAAGTACTAATAGTTATGATTATTGATTACAGCGGGTGGAAGGGAGACGGCATATAGCAGATGGGCAGAGGTGAGCTCTGGTGGCGAGGCGGTTCGGTGACCTTCGCGTGAATAGCGCTCATATAGAATGCCGATGACGTTGTTGTGGGAAATGCAACAGTTTGCCACATGCTTGGGGCAATTAAGTGGCAGCAGGTGTGGCAAGCTCTACAACAGTAAACACTAGCGAAATGTGCACGTAAATAGTTATTAACCCATTCCAATTTGAATAATAATAAATGTCGAATGCAAAACAAATTACATTTGTAGGAAATTTATGCAAGATTTGCAATGTAAGCAAAGCCAATCAGAAATCAAACAATATCCAATTGGAATGTTAACACATTATCATGGGAATAGATCAATCAACTTATAATCTTCCATTTGGAATGCCCAGCAATTAGTAAAGCAATATAAAATACATCATTTATATTCAATATACTCTAACTGTAAATCATTTTCTTTACTTTCCTTGCAGGCTTGCCCACTGAATCCCGCGCCTGAACTGCAATCCGAGCAGGAGTTCTCACAGCGTTTCGCGCACGTCATACGCGGCGTCATCGACTTTGCGGGCATGATTCCCGGCTTCCAGCTGCTCACCCAGGACGACAAATTCACGCTGCTGAAGGCGGGTCTGTTCGATGCGCTGTTCGTGCGTCTCATTTGCATGTTCGACTCGTCGATCAACTCGATCATTTGCCTCAATGGCCAGGTGATGCGTCGCGATGCCATCCAGAATGGAGCGAACGCTCGCTTCCTGGTGGACTCCACATTCAACTTTGCGGAGCGCATGAACTCGATGAATTTGACAGATGCCGAGATCGGACTCTTCTGCGCCATCGTTCTGATCACACCGGATCGCCCGGGTCTGCGCAATCTGGAGCTCATCGAGAAGATGTACAGCCGCCTGAAGGGCTGCCTGCAGTGCATCGTCAGCCAGAATCGGCCCGATCAGCCCGACTTTCTGGCCAAGCTGCTCGACACCATGCCCGATCTGCGCACCCTCAGCACCCTGCACACCGAGAAGCTGGTCGTCTTTCGCACCGAGCACAAGGAGCTGCTGCGTCAGCAGATGTGGAGCATGGAAGAGGGAGACGGAGCGAGCAAGAGCCCGGCCGGCAGCTGGGATGCCATGGACGTGGAGGCGGCCAAGAGCCCCTTGGGCTCGGTCTCCAGCACGGAATCAGCGGATCTGGATTACGGCACGCCCAGCAGCACGCAACTCCAGCAGCAGCAGAGCACACCAACCCAATCCTCCTCCTCAGCATCCAGCGCCTCCTCCTCCTCCTCCTCGTTGGCCAGCTCAGCACCGCTGCTGGCCGCCACACTCTCCGGCGGCTGTCCGCTGCGCAATCGCGCCAACTCCGGCTCCAGCGGCGACTCGGGCGCTGCGGACATGGACATCGTTGGCTCCCATGCGCATCTCACACAGAACGGCCTGACAATCACGCCCATTGTGCGCCACCCGCAACAGGCCCAGCAGCCACAGCAGCAGCAGCAACAGGTGAACCATCAGCAGCAGGTGAATCATCACCAGCAACAGCATCCGCAGCTGCACCATCACCTGACCTCGGGCGCCACGCGCTACCGCAAGCTGGACTCGCCCACCGACTCGGGCATCGAGTCGGGCAACGAGAAGAACGAATGCAAGGCCGTCAGCTCCGGCGGCAGCAGCTCCTGTTCGAGTCCGCGCTCCAGCGTCGACGACGCGCTCGACTGCAGCGATGCGGCGCAGGCAGTCGCAGCCGCAGCCGGCGTCGGCGTCGGCGTTGTCTCCGTGTCGCCGGTGCGCTCGCCGCAGCCGTCGAGCAGCGCCAACCTGAAGCGCCAGATTGTCGAGGATATGCCAGTGCTGAAGCGGGTGCTCCAGGCGCCGCCGCTCTACGACACCAACTCCCTGATGGACGAGGCCTACAAGCCGCACAAGAAGTTCCGCGCTCTGCGCCATCGCGAGTTCGAGTCCGCCGAGGCGGATGCCAGCAGCTCCACCAGCATGCCGGCGCACAGTCCGCGCCAGAGTCCCACGCCCACGCCCACACCGACACCCTCGCCCCACAACGGCGCCGCCGCCCACATCAGCGTGGTGCAGACGCCGCCGCCGCCAGCCGCAGCTGCAGCGAGCAGTCAGCTGCACATGCATCTGACACGCGGCACGCCCAGCCAACAGCAGCACCAGCAGCAGCAGCAGCAGCTGGGCTCATCGATGGCCAGCACGCACTCGGTTTTGGCCAAGTCTCTGATGGCCGAGCCGCGCATGACGCCGGAGCAGATGAAGCGCTCGGACATCATTCAGAACTATTTGATGCGCGAGCCGGCGACGGCGACGGCCAGCAGCACCACGGGCGGACGCAGTCCGAGCAGCCATTGCCCCTCGCCCTCCACCAGCTCCCCGCCCCCAGCTGGCCAGCAGCAGCAGCAGCAGTTGCAGCTGCAGCACCAGCAACAGCTGCGCTGGTCCACCACCAGCTGCCAGCAGCGTCAGCAGAGCGTCTCGCCGCACAGCAATGGCAGCAGCAGCAGCTCCTCGTCCAGCTCCTCATCCAGCTCCACCTCCAGCGCCAGCAGCAGCAGCAGCAGCAACGGCAGCAGCAACAGTTGTCAGTATTTCCAGTCGCCGCACTCCACCAGCAGCAGCAGCAGCAACGGCAATGCCACCACCACCTCAGCGGCAGCCACCTCCAGCTGCATTGTGAGTGCGCCGCCACGTGCCTCGCCGCTGATTGAGCTGCAGGTGGACATCGCCGATCCTGCCCAGCCGTTGAATCTGTCCAAGAAGTCGCCGACGCCGCCGCCGAGCAAGCTGCATGCGCTGGTTGCTGCCGCCAATGCGGTGCAGCGCTATCCAACACTGTCCGCCGATGTCACCGTGACGGCGGCCAGCAGTGCGGTCGTTACTGTGGCCACGCCCAGCAGCACACCGCCCACCAGCAGCAGCAACGGCAGCAGCAGCAGCGGCGGTGGCTTGGCAACCGTGCACAAAGTCATGTTGGAGGCGTAAGCAGAGAGAGACTGAAGCGCGGGGCGTGGTCGACATTTCCTTAAGGCGGCAGCAGCAGTAGCAGCAGCGACAGCCACGCCTCCTCACCAAAAAAAGGGGCGCAAGCGTAAGAAACCCAAATAGAAAGCCAGCTAAAAAGAAAATTATATTAATACAAAAAGCAAAGAAGAAAAACAAAAAGAAAAATTACAAATTTAATTAAATTATTTTAACTTTAAACAAAAATTCACAAAGCATAATTGAAAACAAAAAGCAAAAAAAAAAAAAAGAAAAAAAAAACAATGAGCGAGTGTACAAAGATTCAAAATGCATGCAATTTAAATATTTAAACTAAAAGTTATTAATTATTAAAAGAGAGAAAAGAGCAGAAGAAAGCAAAACCAGAATTTGAATGCGCAGCTGCAGCTCGAGGTATTAAATCAATATATATATATATACACACATGTATGTATATATATATTTTTAGCAGTTAAAGCTACAACAACAACAACAACAAATATGTGTATTTTCCTCGAGAGGTTTCCGCTTTTCCAATTTCATTTGTCACACATTTTGCTTTGCTAAGAAATTTTCTTTTTGTTTTTTTTTTTTTTTTTTATAAACTTTCGATTGTTTTTTTAATTTTAAGCAAAAGTAATACAAATCTGTACATAAAATTAATATTTACATTTTAATTAAACTATTATTATTATTATTATCATAATTATTCTATTATTATGTAGGCAAGCAAAGCGTTCAACTACTTTTGCTTTTTGAGAATGTTTTTTGAAAAAACTGCAGATTGAAAATTTTTATATATTTTATTTTTGTTGCCCCAACAAAATTTTGAAATGAAAAATAACAAAAAAATGGTGTGAACTTTTTTTTTGCGATCTCCGTTAACGAAAGAGAGAGAAATTCAAAAGTAAATTTAAGTTGAAATTCAGTTTTTATGAATTGCAAACAAGTATAAGATTATTGTTTTCTAATTTTAAAAGTAAATCTTAAATACAAAAACATACAAAAAAACAAATACACATGAAAAGTGGAAATACAAAAAAATGCTTAAAGAGTTTTAGCAGCAAAAACCCAACGTTAAAAGAATATTTGTTGTGTACATAGTTAAATGTTAAATTAAAATTACAATTAAAATTACAAAAAAAAAAACACGTATTTAAAATATGAAAATATATGCTTAAACAATTCAATGTTTAATTGGCGTCAAAAAAACAATTTAAAAAAAAAAACTTAGCAGCTGAATAAAAGGTAAAAACTCTGCAAAAAAAATACAAAAAAAAGATGATGATGATGAAGAAGAAAATATGATATAAATATTATTTAAAAAAACGTATAATATACACTTGCGGTAGCAAAAAACTATTACATTAATTATAATTATTATTATTATTATTATTAAAATTATGCAGTACTATTATGATTATTATAATTCTTATGATTAATTAATTACGATTTCTTGTGGTAAGCAACAACAACAACAAAAACAAAACAAAGAAAAAACAACACCGGCGCAGAAATTTTTATGTCAAATCAATAAAAGAAAATTGTTTAAAAAAATATATATAAAAAAAAAAAAAAAAACAAATCTTCAGTTCTTTTTATTTCGTTATTCTGTTTTCAGTTACAAAATGAAGCGACAGCAAATTAAATTTTTATTTCAGTTTTTCTTTTGTATAATATATATATGTATATTGAAAAAAAAAAAAAAAAAAATTATGAAAAAAATATTAAAGAGGACAATTTTGTTTTCTAATTTCAATTGATGTTGATTGAGAAAAACGGAATACAATAAGCATAAAATTATGAAATTTAAAATACATACATATACATATACATATACATACACACATATATTATATATAAATACTATATATATAATACAAATATATTCTTTTAAAATTTATGCGTGAAGAGAGAGTGGAGAAGGAGCTGAAGACGAAGAAGAAGCAGCATTGTCAAATATTATTATGAGGAAGGTTGGAAGGAAATCCCAACAAACATTAAAATAAAATATCACACTTCAATAAAAATATATAAATATATATATATAAACATGCATACATACATACATATATGTACATAGCTGCGTGTGAAACAATTTTTTGCTTGTGTGTGTGTATGTATGTATGTGTGTCTGTAAAAGTGTCCGTAAATTTTAGCAAAAAAAAAAGAAAGAATAAAATGAAAATTGTATTAAAAAACTGAATATTTTATGTAATTAGAAACTCACACACGCACACACTCACTTAGTATAGCTGTGTGTATGTGTGTGTGTGTGCGTCTATCTTTAGGCCTAAAGATAGGAGCAGAAGCAGAAGAAGAATGCAGCGACAAACTGAAACAATGAAATTGCGACAATTAAGCGTATAATTAACAACAAATTTAAATGTTTAACATAAAATTACATAACAAATAAAGACAGCCAACATAATTGAGCTGTATTCCAACTGAACAGGCGTATATATATATACTATATACAGATTCAGTATATAAATATATATATACGTATACATATATGTACAGACAAATATACTTGCATAGTACATATATATATATATATTTTCATCAGTCACAATAGCAATTATGAATTGTGAATTGAGCCAATGACAAATTTTAAAAGACAGCAACAACAACAAGAAACACACAAATTATGGTATTTAAATAGAGCTCCAGCTGGTAACTCCACAAAAGACGAAGAAAAGAAACAAAAAAAATCCAAAAAAATTTGTATTTGTGAAATAAAATAATATTGCAGTTTGTTTTTAAATAAAAATTAAAAAACCAGAATGGAATATGTGAATAAAATATGAAAATAAGTATTTAAAATATATCAACAAAAATTACAAAAAAAAAAATATACCAAAATGTTTTATTTCATTTTTACTGGAAAAGGCAAAGTGTATCAAGATTATTTCTTTTTCAGAATGTGTCATATAGCCTCTAACATTAATGGGACTTCTTCTTCTTCTTCTTCTGGTTGGCGATAATTTTCAATGTCGTCGCCTGTATGTGCTTTTCGGAATTTTGCCCGTGACCTTGAGCGATAAGTGTCGCAAAATGAATTTGCCGAAATAATCAAAAAAGCGCGAGGCGCGCTCGAGTGAAAGAAAGAGAGAGAGAGAGAGAGAGGGGCCTAAGCGTAGAGCGGTAGTGCCTCGTGTAGATAACATTCGGTTAGATAGCGCCCAGGCCCAGCCTGGTTAGGCGGCAGGGGGGATTTGAACGCAGACATGTACATACATGTATGTCTACAAATATATATATATAGATACATATTCTAATTTTAAATAATGAGCATGATCTCTGAGAAAGAGAAGGAGAAGTGAGAGAGTCAGGAATAGGCAGATAGCTGAAAAAACACGCTTAAATCTGTTATCTTCAAAGTCAAAGTCGAAGCTGAGGCAGACAGAGATCGATGGAAGCGTAGAGTGAGATGCATGCATTGATAAGGAGGCGTACCAAATTAGCAAACTGTGCAATGTGGCGTATGAGTAATATAAGTGGCGCATGAGTAAAAATACATTTGAGAAAGGGCAATAAAATATAAAATAAAATGCATAGAAAAACTGTTCGACAACCCGATAAATGATACACGAAAGAGGACAAATCGAACGATAAATGAAATAAACGAACGATAAATGAAATAAATGCTCGATATAAATACTTTAACGATAGTTTTGTAAAGAACAAAATAAATACACTAGGCAATATGGCGTATACGTAATATCTGGAAGCATTATAGACGATGAGAAATGGTGATAATAGATAGTCATCTATCGATAAACGACAGAAAGAGCGAATTGACTGCCAAATACTATAATCCGATCGGGCGGGCGCTATCGACTGACTGAAGCATACTTATTTCATTTCAAATTTCCTGCGCTATATACATATGTATGTATATTATATTAGCTCGTCGATTCTTATATTTCTTTTATTTTTGCGTATTTCACCTTGAAATCAAACGAGCCTCAAATAAATTAATACACACAACGCGCGCAAATTCCACGACACAAATAAAAATACAAATACAGTTACAGAGCCATGCGAAACGCTTGTGTGCACGTGTGTACATATGTATGAATGTATGTATGTATGTGTGTGTGTTTGTTTGTATGTATTTCGAAGCAAGAACAAATACCGGGAACAAAAGCAACAACAGCAACAAATTTTCAAGGTTAACTGATTAGACGAAATTAGCAAAGTTCTAGCAGATGATTGAACGAGCGAGCAGGAAGCATGGGAGCAGCGCAGGCGAGCGAGCGAGCGAGCGAGTGGGGTAGAGCGAGGTGGAGCGACCGGACGATGAGAGCACGCGCTAAATAAAAGGCCCACGCAACGCGTTTGCGTACGGTGCGTGTGCGTAGCTCGGCAAGCCGAGCATGCGACCCGAACCGCAGCACATCGAAGCCGAAGTGAGGCGCCTGCCGAATGTACGCACACGCACGCCGAACTTTGCCGTGCCGCGCCCCCTTCCCAAACGCAAACACCATCCACAAAGCTCTTGAACGCGTCAGCAGCAGCAGCAGCCGCATGGCGAATTCTGCGTTCTACGATTTGACATTGAAAATAATATTGGGCTACCATAAAAGTTTGTTTTAACTAAGCCATGATAGTTCTGTATTTGGGCTTCATTTATAGTTAATCCAAATTTAAATCACTGCAGTGGCCAAAAAAAAAACACATTTCATTGAGCAATAAAAAAATGAATCAAAGGTAAATTTACAGCTCGGCCATAAGGCAGTAAACAAAATTGAGCACAAAGTACAATGAAAAGAGTAAATTGGACTATAAACAAAAACAGTTTTACGTTTTTGGAATAAGGTAAATATAATCAGACAAACATTCACACACACACACATACTCATATAGATATACAAACAAATACAAAACGAAATGCGCTTGACATTGAACTTGAACTGCAGTGCAGTCGATGACGATGACAGCGACGTCAACGTCAACGTCAACGTCTGCGTCTGCCATAGCAGAGCTGATAGCAGAATCAACGAGAGCGACAACAGCCGTTGTTATTGTTGCTGTAGCTGCT